TATATATATATATATATATATATATAAATAATTTTTTTAAATGAATTTAAAAATAATTAAAATGTTTTGTTTGTTTGTTTGCTTTCTTATATGCTGTTTCATATCTTCTTTTATAATCATTTAAGTCTAATCTTTGCTCAACCGTATATATTTGTTCACATTCATCAATGACCCTTCATTTATCTATATGCTTCTTCCTTAGATTTGATTAGTAATTATGCTTAAGACATGCTTATATACTTTGTTTGTGTGACCTAGATGTTAGTATATCTTAGTGCCACATCTGTGATGTTAGATAGTGTCATTTATCGTGGTGTGTGATTCATTTGAAGAATTTTGTGAGTCTAAATTAAGGACTTGGATGATGTGCAGCTTGAATAAATCCCATGGTACTGATGGGCTCACACCGAAATTTATAGAATTTTCAGGAAAGATATTAGACATTTGTTATTCAAAACAATTCAATAATGGAGTTAATAACAACCATGCAGCAAGGCCTAATAATATTTAACCCTAAGCAATAATAAAAGATTATTAGACCTATTACATTTCTCAACAGTGACTATAAATTATTATCTGGAATTACTGCACCTAGAATGAAAAAGGCTTGTCCTAGATAATAAATGAAACTCAATCTAGCTTTCTTGGTGAAAGATCTATTCATAACAGCATAAGATTGGTACTTGATTTGTGAGAGAATGAGAGAATGGCTTCAATGTATTTCTAAAGTGTTACAAAGCTTTTGATTAATTAGAACATCCCTTTAGAAATCATTTTGGTTTTGGACAGAAATTCACAAATCTAATTAGTAAACGTTATAATGATATTAACAGTTGTGCATCTTTAGAATATGGCTTGCTCAAGATTTATAACGGTTGCTGAACTGTTTTCCATTATGATAAAGAATGACGGATCTGAAGGCTTTAACATAGAGAAAAACATCTTAATAACAGTCCGCAGATGACACAATTTTGTTTTTAAAAGATGAAAACCAAATTTTTAACAATACTAGGCTACATTTAATCAACCAATTCTCTAAAGAATCAGGAGTTATATTCAACATTAATAAAAGTGTGCATTTTTTGCTTTGAATGATCAACCAGCTAGCTCAATCAGTAACACAGAGGTAGAGGTTAAAACAGAAGTTAAATATTTGGGTATTATGGTCACCCAATACAAAGAAATTAGCAAAAAAGAAAACATTCATAGAAATATTGATAAATATAAATATAACTGACATTTATCCATGCAATAACTTCTTAGGAGAACAATTTATGCAGGTCCAGTGAGAAAGATGTTGTTCTTCCAGTGAATTTACAGGAATTTTGGCTTCAAAAAATCTCTTTACACATTATAACAAACCGCCGTTATAAGGTTTGTACTTTAATTTAGTTCAATAAAATATAGGTAAGTAAGTAAGTAAATAAATAAATAACAACAACAAAATCTATAAATGCGCTGAACCCTGGACCTTCTTAGCACGCCCCTGCGTGATCGCCAATCTCCCCCATTCCGTTACACTACACATGCAGTGATTGGTAGAAGGTTTTTGTTGCTATAATCCCTCCAGTTTAAGAGAGCTATTCACTCGTCTGTGATCTCAGGGACCCGGTGTCTCATCGTCAGTCATATCCGGAGCACGCATGGCTTCTCAAAAGCAGAACGACAGCTCAGCCGCCGGCTACCAGCCGCTCTTCAAATCATTCGCTACTGATGCGATCCACGTTGGTTCAGAGCCGGAGCAGTGGAACTCTAGGGCCGTAGTGCCTCCTATTTCGCTGTCTACTACCTTTAAACAACACGGACCGGGGAAGCATGCGGTAAGTCATTGAGGTTGGTATTTTGTAAGGATTTGATATTGAGAATATATTAATTGGTGTATCGTATTAGACCGATATTTAAATATGTAGGTTTGTTGTTTCCAGCAGGCTTCATTTTGCAAATTACAAGCCAGGCCTATTTGTGTTAACATTGGATGATTTAACAAAATTGGACATTTAAACAACACCGCAGGTTAAGGTGAAGTTCTTGCCCTGCATTAAAGCGTTTATTTGGGTTTGGCTAGTTTAAGCTGGGGTTAGCTGATTTAAAATAGTCTCCTAGACCCAAACCCTTCTGGAACTGGTCAACAAAGAATAAGATACCTTTACAGAAGAGTGGTTACAGATTACATCAGCAAAGATGCTGCATTGACTGAAAGTTGACTGAACTTTGACTGAATTTACTCAACAACAACATGAGTCATGATCCCTTGTGAATTGTGTGCCTTTATAAAGAAGTTACACCACAAAATAACAGTACCAACGGTACTGTACTTTTTAACTTGGTGTTTACTTAGATTTGACCTCTTAAATGTATTTTTTGTTAATTCCTCATTCACAGATTTTAAATTTTATATACAATAAAAAAAAACTAGTTTATGTGTAGTATTTTGAATTCCAAGTTTTCCCCCCCCGTTATTTTATTCTGCCAGGGTTTTGAGTACAGCAGGAGTGGAAATCCCACAAGAAGCTGTCTTGAGAGAGCAGTTGCTGCTTTGGATGGTGCACAATACTGTGAGTCCATCATCAACACATTTATATGTTATGTGACATTGCCATAACCTGTCTGACTTTGCTAATAGGTCTCGCTATTGCCTCTGGAACGGCTGCCATTTTGACCATCACACATCTTCTTAAGGCTGGAGATGGAATTTTGTGCATGAATGATGTTTATGGAGGTGAGTTACTGCTCCTAATAATAAATAAAATGATAGTTGATACTAGTTGAGTCTTGCTGAGTCTTCCATGTTTTTCTCACCAGGAACAAATGAGTATTTATCAAAAATAGCTGCGGAATTTGGCCTTGCTGTCTGTTTTGTGGACCTCACAAAGCTAGAGTTGCTAAAAGCAGCTCTAAAACCAAATACAAAGGTACACTTGGCAGAGAAAGCATTTAAAAAATGCAGTGGGAAAATGGGTGGATGGGGAAATATTTGCTCACCTGATTAAACCTGACAATAACATGTTAATTATATTTGGGAAGTACCACTCTAACTAAAATGGCATATTAAATATTTAATTTCAAATAATGTCTACAGATGTTATGGATTGAAACGCCCACAAACCCTACATTGAAGGTTGTGGACATCAAGGGCTGTGCAGATATTGTCCATGAGCACAACAAGGACATAATTGTTGTTGTGGACAACACTTTCATGTCGTCCTATTTTCAGGTACGAACATTTACATTATTTTAATACATAACCCAGTGCTGCTGGTGTTAAAGCAAAGTTGCCATGTCCAGAGAACAATACCTTAATGTTTCACACTATGCTATTAATTAAAAAGTGATTTAAGTTAAATGTACCTTTTGTTAAGCATTGAGTACAATACTTTAGTATCATTTAGAAGATTCCAGTGCAGGGTTAGAGTTTCCTTATACAGAAACTAAATACTGATTTAAATATTTCACTGTTTTTCTCATTCCTGGAACAGCGCCCCCTTGCACTTGGAGCAGACATCTGCATGTACTCTGCAACAAAATATATGAATGGTAAAAACAAATAAAAAGATTCACTTAAGGTTAATTAGATTGAATTTTAAGATTGAAAGTTTGTTGATTAAAGTTATCCATGCTATTCCAGGACACAGTGATGTTGTGATGGGACTGATTTCTCTCAGCCGTGATGACCTCAATGAACGACTGAAGTTTTTGCAGAGTGGTAAGGATCTATCTATCTATCTATCTATCTATCTATCTATCTATCTATCTATCTATCTGTCTATCTGTCTATCTGTCTATCTATCTATCTATCTATCTATCTATCTATCTATCTGTCTATCTGTCTGTCTGTCTGTCTGTCTACACACACAAAATCAACTGTTTACGATATGCCCAGGTGTTGTACAATAAGCTTCAATATATTTTTTAATAATCAGAAGGGCAAGGAATCATAGGCCACTAAGCTTATCATCAAAGACTGTTAAAGGTTCAGCTCAGTGTTATAATGTACATAAATATGCTGAAGATGTGTTTTAACATGACCAAGACAAGCACCAGGTAGAATGTTCAAATATAACTTTGTGAACAAGGAATTCTAGCAAGAAAGAAGTTCTTTTATCTACACTATTGGGAGTCTTTTGTAAGGAACAAGATTTTTTTTAAATTAATTTAAAAATAGTTACTTGTCTTTCAGGTAATATCAGTAATATCCTGTTTTAATATCTGCTGCTGATATTTCCCTTTTGTTATTGCGTGTACAGTAGTGTAGTCTCACTACGAAATACATGTGTATCTATCTATCTGTCTATCTGTCTATCTGTCTATCTATCTATCTATCTATCTATCTATCTATCTATCTGTCTATCTGTCTGTCTGTCTGTCTGTCTACACACACAAAATCAACTGTTTACGATATGCCCAGGTGTTGTACAATAAGCTTCAATATATTTTTTAATAATCAGAAGGGCAAGGAATCATAGGCCACTAAGCTTATCATCAAAGACTGTTAAAGGTTCAGCTCAGTGTTATAATGTACATAAATATGCTGAAGATGTGTTTTAACATGACCAAGACAAGCACCAGGTAGAATGTTCAAATATAACTTTGTGAACAAGGAATTCTAGCAAGAAAGAAGTTCTTTTATCTACACTATTGGGAGTCTTTTGTAAGGAACAAGATTTTTTTTAAATTAATTTAAAAATAGTTACTTGTCTTTCAGGTAATATCAGTAATATCCTGTTTTAATATCTGCTGCTGATATTTCCCTTTTGTTATTGCGTGTACAGTAGTGTAGTCTCACTACGAAATACATGTGTAATCACTATGTATAATTTGAGCAAATAATATTTTTTCCTATTTCATCCCATACCTCCCACCTGTCACACTGTTACAGTCCTGATGTGATGATTAAACCTTGGGCTTTCTGTTATGTTCTTTTAGCAATTATAATACATTGCAGATTTATGCCTGATTGAAATGCAAAAAATGAGTTAGCGCATAGCAGAAGTAAAAGGTTTATTTTCATCTCTCTTCCTCTCTATTTTCTTCAGCTCTTGGGGCTGTGCCTTCTCCGTTTGATTGTTATATGTGCCACCGGGGTCTGAAGACACTCCACGTGAGAATGAAGCAGCACTTTAAGAACGCAATGGCCGCGGCACAGTTTCTGGAGGCCGACCCAAGAGTGGACAGAGTCATCTTCCCAGGTGTCTGTCTATGATATTATTGTGACTATATATAGAAATGTATGTTAGGCAATTTTGACACGTTGCTCAAATAACCCATCTGAATATAATGATAACATAATTTATTCCTGTGATGGAAAATCTGAATTTTCAGCAGCCATTACTGCAGTCTTTAGTGTTACATGATCCATTAGAAACCATTCTAATATGATAATTTGGTGCTCAAGACACATTTCTTATAACAAGTTCTTAAATAATTATTATAATTCTATTATAATTGATATTATTACAGTTGAAAATGGCTGTTGTTTAATCTTTTTTTTCATAATTCTTTGATAAATAGAAAGTTCAAAAGAATAACATTTATTTTATTCTTTATTCTTTAATTTATCTTTACTGTCACTTTGATTAGGTTAATGTGTCCTGTAGGTATCCTGTAATGTGAGTAAATGTAAAAACAAATTCTTAAAATAAATCTTACTGACATCACATTTTTGAATAGTAGTTTACATGTTTCATTGGTATAATACCACCTCTGGGCAACACTGAACTGGATTGTTCAAAATGAACTGATACTGATAGATTCCAGTCAGATTTGATTGACTCTTGATCATCTCTTTTCCTTCAGGTCTTCCATCCCACCCTCAGCATGAGCTGACAAAGAGACAGTGCACAGGTTGTCCTGGGATGATCTCTTTCTACATCAAAGGAAAACTGGAGCACGCCTCAACTTTCCTCCGCAGTCTGAAGGTGCTTTGAAGCTTCATATAGTTTGAAAATCTTTTACACCTTACATGTTTAAAGAATTTTATATTGTTTTATGCATTTCAGTTGTTTACGCTTGCTGATAGTCTTGGTGGTGTTGAGAGTCTAGCAGAGCACCCGTAAGTATGTCCAAATCCACTGACTGTTCTCTGGGAAAATGTTATATTTAATTCTAGCGCATATAGAAAAAAATATATAAAGTATGTTCACTGTTTTTGTGAAAGGCATGTGGATGAGTGTGAGCCCAAAAAAACCTTTGGATGGCCACAAGGGGGCGTGAGAGCTTTAATGTTGTAGTAAAAAGAAATGCAAAAACAACACTTTTCTTGTCTGAACTGTCTAATTGTTGAACACCTTATCTTTTGAAACATCATTGTGACAGGTTTATGATATTTATGGTTCACAAGTAATTCACTAATTCCATTATTTCTGTTAAATAATTTGATACAGTATCTTGTCGGGTATCATTATGATTTTATATGGGAAAATCAAATAAAAATCAACCAAAAACCCTTTTTTGAGGTGACATTTCATCCAACTCCATTTCCCAAGGTGCACTTTTTCTTTTCCAGAGTAAGTATGACTCATGTTTCTGTGCCTGAAAATGAGAAGAAAGAGCTGGGCATTAGTGATACGCTCATTCGTTTGTCTGTGGGCCTGGAGGATGAGGAAAATATTATTGCAGACCTAGACCAAGCCCTCCGTACTGCAGTGAGTATTTCAGAACACATTTCATTTTTGCACAGCCTTACCTGATAAGAAATATGTATACATTTTATAAACATTCAGTGTCAATAGGTTTTTTTTGTTGTTGAGTGAAATTATAATTTCAGCAAGGAAGCATTATTTTGTTCTAAGTTACAGTAAAGATATTTATAAAATTACAAAAGATTTATATTGTAAATAAATACTGTTCTTTTTAACGATTCTTTAAAGAATCCTAAAAATGTATAGCACTTTCCACCAATATTAAGAAGTATACTGTTTTCTAGTTTATAATATTAACTTTTTTTTAGAAGTTAATCAGCACATTAAAATGAATTTTGGGGGATATTTATTTATTTTATTTATCCTTTCTTTTACCAGGAAGGTCCCATTGAGAAATAGAATATCTTCTTCCAGGCAGTCCTGGTCAAGATGGCTACATAAAGTTTCACATAAAGAACACAATACACAATTTAAACAACAAATACAATTAAATATATGAAAGATCAATGATAATAGCAACATGATTCCTTCAGTGCAGCCTGCAGTAAATGGAATTGATTCTAAGAAAAATGACGGCTTGCATGTTATTCCATAACCAGGGTGCATAAAAAGAAAAAGCACTTTTAACATAGGAACATTCAAATGAATAACAGTAGTTGATCTAGTAAAGATGGACTTGTTATAGTAATATGATATAAGACTAGAGATGCGAGTAGTAAGTTTGCAACAAATAATAACATATACATTTTCCTTCTTTGACATAAGCAGGACCAACCTGCAGAGTCACAATCCAACTTTTTCAGTAAGGATGAATTTGTGTTCATGTACAACACAATACCTTAATCTAATACTGACAAAAAGAGCTTTGTACGATCCTCTTCCTGGCTTCGTATGGGAGACAAGCTACCAAATGTGTACATTAAAAGCCAACTTTGAGAGATAAGACTCTATACCTTCAGTGTTAGAGATAGACAAGACAAATGTCTAAGTATGACTTGGAGAAAATAGATTTAGAAGTTTTGGCATTTTAAGGCCAATTTATATTTTATCAGTGGAAGCTGTAGTGAATGAAAAGAATCCGGCAGAAATTCTATGTCTTGATTCAAAGAAGGTGCAACTATATAAGTAATGGTGTTATCAGCATAAAAAATGTAACTCAGTCAAATTTATTCTTTGGCCTAGAACTTTTATAAATATAGAACATAAAATCGGAGCCAAAATAGACCCTTGCGGTACACCCTTTTTAACTGTTAATAAGGCTGAAGAATAATTCTCTATCAAAATACATTAAGTTTTTCAGTGAGATCTTGAAACAAATCAAAGCCGTTTCACCTAAGCCTATAGATTTAAGCCTCTGTAATAGTAGTTTATGATTTACAGAGTCAGGCTTTGGACAAATCAGCAAATAAGGCCACACTGTGCTGTTTCTTACTTAAGATTTAATAATGATTTCCTTTGTAACTAGCAAAGCCACAGTATAGTGTTGTTGTCTGATCTAAAACCTGAAATTCACTCAAAATATTATGTTGAGATAAACATTCTTTTAATTGACCACTTACAAAACCTTTTTCCAAAACAGACAATCTAGAAATAGGACAATAGTTATTTAATTCAGAAGGGTCTCCACCATTTAATAGCAGGAGGACCATTGCCGAATAACACTGGAGGGTAAACTCAAATTAAATATAGAAGCAATAGGTTCTGAAATTTTTAAAACGTAGTTTTCTATTTTATTAGGTATGCCAGATTTTTTACAGTCTAGGCTCAAAAGTGCTTTATGAACTTGTAGCTGAAATAGAGTTAAAAGAAAATAATTAAGAAGGGCACCTTGCAACTGACTCATTTCCCTTAAAATCGTGATCCACCAAATTACCATAGTTAAAAGTGTCTGCAATATTTGCCTTTAAATGAACTCTGACTCACTTTTAAAAAGTCAGGAAACCTGTTTTTTTTAAAGCATATATCTATTAGTGATTTAGACAGTTTCCAGAATTTAACAAGATCAATTATATTTTAATTTATCAAATTAATATAATAATCTCACTTATTTCTTAATGTTCTATAATGTGTTCAGTCTACTGTTTTCTTTGCTTATGCTTAATGGCTATGCATGATTTTTTTTGTCTAATAAAGGCTGAAATGGATTCATTAAACGAAGGGTTGTTTCTGTCACTTATCCTGAATCTTCTGAAAGGAGCATGATTATCACAGAAAGCTAAGGGGGGTATTTAAAATATTCCTAAGCTTATTCTATGAATCACTGTTACACACATTGTGGAAAAAGCTTATTCATTAAAATGTCTAAATTGTCTTTTATAAATAAAACGAGGTCTACTCTTATGCGTTGAAAAATTTCTCACATAAAGTATTTCACAGTGATTACTGACATTGTTATAAAAGAAACTCCAGCTGCAGAGACACCATGTGGTACATTTGTTTAAACAACATCAAGTAAAGAAGATTAATTTTTTTAATATAATGCGGTTGGAGAATTGATAAATTGGTCCAGACAAGGAGAGTTAAAAATGTCCTTGAGTGGGTCTCATGATTGTGATATCCAGTCCCAGTTTAAATCATCCATTAAAACCTGTTCAGATTTGGTGCAATTGTGAAGCAAATCAATGAGCAATGTGATGGCTTGTCTTTTGGTTTTGCAGAAATAATTGAATAGCCAATAATTGAAAAGCCATCTATTCTAAGGACATAACCCTCTATATGTATCGTATCATTTGTGAATGTGTTTTTTAACAATGTCTCAGTGTCATCTGAGTCTGCCCATATTCAAAATGAGCGAACATTAAGAAGGAAAACTGTAATTCATTACAAGATCCTGTGATGCTGCAAGTCTGGAGTAATGACTGGAGTATTAAAATGTAAAAATACTTTTAAAATATTATGTTTTGACTGCAGATGTGGTTCATACAGATCATGTTTTGACTGTGCATTTAACTTCAGTCATTCAAAACTACAATGAAACTAAAAACTTTGTTTTGACTGCACCTCCCTTGACAAAAGTGCAGTCCCAAAACAAAATCCAGTAATTCATCCAGAGACTGCTTGTTGAAAGTGTTGTGAATCATTGATCCTGCTGCAGTTAATAAACAAACAATTATTCTTCAGCCCCCTAGAGTTTAGTCTGGCTGTGGTTCAGTTACGTGTGTCAAAGATCAAGGCGGACAACTTGGGAAGAGCACAAAAACTTGTGAAGGAGGCTGCAGGACAAGGTGCAAAAGTTGTAGGGTTATAAGTATGGTGACCCATACTCGGAATTAGTGCTCTGCATTTATCCCATCCAAAGTGCACACACACAGCAGTGAACACACACACAGTGAACACACACCCGGAGCAGTGGGCAGCCATTTTTTTGCTGCGGCGCCCGGGGAGCAGTTGGGGGTTCGGTGCCTTGCTCAAGGGCATCTCACGTTGAAAGTGTTGTGAATCATTGATCCTGCTGCAGTTAATAAACAAACAATTATTCTTCAGCCCCCTAGAGTTTAGTCTGGCTGTGGTTCAATTACATGTGTCAAAGATCAAGGCGGACAACTTGGGAAGAGCACAAAAACTTGTGAAGGAGGCGGCAGGACAAGGGTTATAAGTATGGTGACCCATACTCGGAATTAGTGCTCTGCATTTATCCCATCCAAAGTGCACACACACAGCAGTGAACACACACACAGTGAACACACACCCGGAGCAGTGGGCAGCCATTTTTTTGCTGCGGCGCCCGGGGAGCAGTTGGGGGTTCGGTGCCTTGCTCAAGGGCATCTCAGTCGTGAAACATTCACTCCCCCCACCTACAATCCCTGCTGGTACGAAACTCGAACCGAGTCCGACTCTCTAACCATTAGGCCACGACTTCCCCCAAAACCCGGGCCACGGCGGTGAGAGTGCCGAATCCTAACCACTAGACCACCAGGGAATTATGACTACTATTTTAATATTGGTTTATAAAAAAATGCATTTAATAATCCATTATATATGTTTGTTTGCAGGAGTGCTTCAACTCCCCTTATGGAACCGGGTTCTTTGCTGAGTATGCTGAGAAGATCCCAGGAGAGTCCACACGGGTGTTGTCGGAGGCAGCCAGGGATTGTGGGGTCTATTTAGTGGGCGGTGAGACCCTCAGACACAAACCAGCGTGTTTGATGCCATTTATTTTCATGTCCCTTACATGACTGTGTCTTTGTTGTATAGGTTCCATTCCTGAGAAGGATGGAGAAAAGCTCTATAACACCTGCTCAGTTTTTGGACCTGATGGAAAGCCGCCTGTCAAACACAGGAAAGTAAGTAACAGTAAAGTATTTATGTTTCAAAAGATTTCTAATTTAATTAAATGCTGTTCTTTTTGTTCTTAATAGTTGAATCTTGTTTTTTCCTGCAGACTATTAGAGTAATGTTATCTATATATATAAACATTAAAATAAATAAGTTTCAGCTCAATTTAAATGTATTAATATAGCAATATTGTTCAACATTTAGTTAATATTGAAAGTTAACAGAATAACAACACTTAATTGCTTAAGTACTTTAAGATTAAAAACTTTGATTGGTAGATGAATAGTAAAAAACGTTAATAATGATCCAATGCTACAACACAAGTTTAAATGACAGCTTTCATGGAGAAGCAGGACTAGCATTTATCAAGGTTGAATTTAATGGCAAGGTTGGACATGGCATGATAACTAATTTGCAAGTGAACTGAAACGTTGTACAAGGCTAATTTATGTCCTTTAATTTCATGTGCAGTGTAGGATTATAGGTTACTTTGTAATGAATACTAAATGAAGGATTTTTTAAAAACTTATTAAAAATATTGCTCCAGGATTGAAAACATTTCCCAGCAGAAAACAATTGAGGAATACCAGTGCTTATATATAATTTAATCCATACAAATTAGGCATTCAGTGTCTAAGGAGTGCAAGGGGAGGACAAAAAAACAGTTACATCTCTCTGGTTCTCTCTGTTTTCTGGCTCAGTGACACAGGTTTCGTGCATAGTTGTATGGGTTGGTATGGTAACTGTGCCCTCTTTTCATGCAGGGGTGAAGTTGACAAAAGCTGGGTCAGAGGAGGCTTCTGTATATGCTGACATAGGTGAGTTTGGTAACAGTTGCATTTAGATCATTAAAAGTAAAAGCTGTAGAGGATGTTTAAAACTGCTATTTACAAAAATGCTATTACAGTAGGCTCTTAATATTATGTGGTCATGTTCATGTAACACGATGCAAAAAAAGAATATACCATCATCATGACATCCATTCAGCATGTTAAAATAGTAATAAAACTAAAAGCTCAAAAAGCTCAAGTACTTTCACTGATGTTTTTATGCTTCTGTTTGTAAAAGTCATTAAAAGCAGTAGGTGTGGCCTGTGGGTAACTACAGTGCACAGACATTTGATCTACTGCCAGGAACAAGTGCCTCACAGTTTGTACTTGTACTAAATCTTGTTGTATGTACAATACAACGATTTAAATTCTGTCTCCCCGAGGCCTTTAATTTACACTGACTTTGATACAATACTGAAAATATTGCAGTGATTAATATCACTGTGAAAATATAAAAATTGAAAATGCAGTGCTAAAATGGTCTTTCTGCCACATTCAGCAATGCTGAATATATTTTAATTATATTTAGTTTCAACATAACCCCTTAACAGATAATAAAGAGAATGACATGACAGTGGAATATATTAGTAATACCGTAACAAATACAGTAACTGCATTTGTGCTCCAACCTGTCTAACTACTTCAGGTTAAACAGGTAAAGTTATGAAAGTTTTTTTGTGCTCTTTCCCAACAACATAGCATGTTGTGGATATTTATCATGGTCTAAACATCTAGGTGTCTCATCCAAACATCTTAAATAATTCAGCTATATTTTTAGATACTTAATAATGAATGTGTTTGAGCTGTTTATCTATGTATTTTGAAGACAGATACATTCATATTCTTAGCTTGACATGTTTTATTCTATTGTATGCAGTTGCAGGTCTTTCGTTTAGCTGATTGTATGGAAAAAGGAGGATAATCAATACAAGAAAAGCTTAAACCAGGGGTGCCCAAACTTGGTCCTGGAGGGCCAGTGTCCTGCAGAGTTTAGCTCCAACTTGCCTCAACACACCTGCCGGGAAGTTTCTAGTATGCCCTAGAGCTTGATTAGCTGGTTCAGGTGTGTCTAATTGGGGTTGGATCTAAACTCTGCAGGACAACGGCCCTCCAGGACCGAGTTTGGGCACCCCTGGCATAAACCAATGGTTTTGAATGAAGTTTGCACCATCTCAAGCTGATTCATCCTCTGAAATGAAACTTTGAATCACTTCCAGTCAAGCACAGTTAATAAGCAAGCATTATGAAAGTTAGCAGAATTAACCCAGTATTTCCAAACCATGTTACACATCAGTCTCAGGAAAGGAAGCCCATTGCTCCACATCGAACAAGATCATGTCAGAGCCCTCGCAACATGAATCATCTGCAACACAAAGGAATGATCGTCATATAACAAATTCACACCGATCATCAAGTAGCCTACATAGAACTTACACATTTGCGGTTTTTTCTTTTTCGATCTCAGTCCCATTTTCTGATTACCGTATTGCTCACTTTACAGAACATCAACTTGTTTTACATGTTACATCACTGATTCAGCAGGTTGTTTTCTATGACACAGGATATGGCAGTGTCTGCTGAGATGTTGATGCACTCTGGTTTCTTCACCGTTCACTTCATTCTCTCTCAATAAAGTAGGATGGCTGAAATTACCTACAAATACATAGAATGAATGCTTGAAACCAAAATAGGCATCAGAACAAAAAGTCAAAGTAGCTAGCCTGGATGCATTAAATATTTAATCCTTATCTGCTAATGAAACAGACAGGGCAAACCAGAGAACTTCTATTTTGACCAAGAAGCTTAAGATTAAGGCTACGTCCACATGAAGCCAGATCTTCCCTAAAGATCTGCCACAGAGATACACTAAAAACGGAGAAGACTTGGACTATGCGCATAAACCTCGCGCGCGGTATACAAACGAACATGGAACAATAAATTTATTAATCTATCTTAATGTTAGTTAATAAAAAGACAATCGTTCAGTGTTTTTCTTCATGTTTTTGTTGCTGTTACGTGACGTAGGTGTCTGACTAGGGGCGAGACGTGGCTGATGACGTCATCGTTTCAGAAAATGTACGGTCTGTAAATGTACACTCCCCCCAATCACTCCTGCTATGCA